CATGAAACAGATCAGCAGCAGCATGAAACAGATCAGCAGCAGCATGAGACGGATAAGCAGCAACATGAAACAGATCAGCAGTAACATGAAACAGATCAGCAGCAACATGAAACAGATCAGCAGCAACACGATGTGATTTTCCACAGTGAATATTCTGGTTAGAGATTCAAGAGACTGTCGTGAACTCGGCCTCCGACCAAAACCTGTCTCTGAAGACCTTCATGGGACAGGAACTGTTATTTCATTGATTTGAATCCAGAAATACAAATTAGCTCATCCAGAGACTGTTAATTGTATCCTGAAGTAATCAATTGAAAGAACACTCTTCTTTTTATATTATCATTACTATTTTACAATATCTTGATAAATCAAAAGTGTGTTTAGTTCATATCATTTCTAAATGTTGAAGTGAACCACTCATTTTAAATCAACTGTGAAACAGTATTAATGATTTTTTAAACCTAATTTAAATTAGAATTCAAGTTAAATGTCTATTTACAAAGTAATTATGCATTTTTATTTTCTGTCTAAATGAGAAGTCAGTGATGTCGGTCAAAAGTCAGAGACAGTCAGAAAAGAAGTTATTAAAACGAGGTGTATTGTTTTTAAACCTAGCAGACGGTAAAAAGAGAAACACTGGCATCTGCGTTCCTCTCACTTTGCCATAACATTTCTCTGTCTGTACTAAACGTTCCTAAACATTCCTGAACCCTCGCTTGACTTTCAATAACCCTCTGACATCACTAGAACCACCCCCTGTTGGTTGTTTCAACCAATCAGGAAGTACCAAGTGACCGGAAGTGAGGACTCTTTTAAAAGTGAGCATTTCCTGGAACTAGTCAGTCTTCTCCGTCTTCTCAAGTTCTTCTGAGTTCTTCTGAAGTCTTGGAGTTCTTCTGAGTCTTCTTGACTCTTCAGTCTCCTGAGTGGGATTTCTGACGGAGTCACAGCGACTTGCTGTGAATCCACCCAGGCGTAACGGCTACAACTTCGAAGGGAGCTGAGCCTGTTTGTTGAACGGAGTAAATCGACACGACTTCTGACAATGACCAGCCGCTCTAACCAGAGACGCTGGAAGGTAGCGTTGAAATTGACCCGATACCGGCGCTGATTTATCTCCAGCGAAGGTAACGAGTCGTCACGTGCGAAGTGTACCGGAGGTTTGAGCTGGTGTTGAAAGAAGCGTGCTAATTCTGGTCAACAACATACATCTCTCTTCACCCATCTTTTCTTTAAACCTCTAAATTCCTTCCTTTAAACTCTTCTATTTTGCCAGTAATCTAGATGCCTTCAGAAATGTCTTGTTGTCTTATTAGTAAAGCGTGCCAAGTTTTATTAATCAGAACCAGATCAGCGAATCATGTGTACATGTTTTGATGTTAAATTTTGATTCAGTTAAATAAATGACCGCATTTATTCTGATGGGTCAAAGGAAAATAACGTCTCTTGTCACTGATTAAACAATCCACGAACAGATACCTCGGTCACATGGCATTAATTTAACTCGAAAAAGAAAAAACCCATTATATTTAAATTTTTAGTAGTGAAGCGACAATTAAGCTGTCCCCCACATTTGGTGGGACCGTATGTCCACAGCAAAGCTGTCCTTGACACACAACAAGTCTAACAGCCTCAAGGTAGAAGCTGTTCCTCAGTCTACTGGTTCTACACTTAATGCTTCTCAACCTCCTTCCTGAGGGGAGTGGGTCAACAAGTGTGTGTGCTGGGTGAGTGTGGTCCTTCATGATGCAGGTGGCCCTCTTCCTGCATCTGGAGGTGTAGATGTCTGTGATGGTGGGGAGGCTGACTCCAACATCTTCTGTGCAGCCTTCACCACTCTCTGCAAAGCTTTTCTCTCTGCAGCTGTGCAGCCTCCATGCCACACGTTGATGCTGGAGCACAGGATGCTCTCCACTGCACACCTGTAGAAGGAGGTGAGGACTGAGCTTCCCAGACCAGCTCGCCTCAGCCGTCTGAGGAAGTAGAGTCTCTGATGAGCTTTCTTCATCAGGCTGGTGGTGTTGTTGCTCCAGCTGAGGTTGTTGTTCATGTGTACACCCAAGTACTTGTAGCTGGAGACCACTTCCACCGCAGATCCTCTTATGTTCAGGGGGGTGTAGATGTGTTTGTTCCTTCTGAAGTCCACAATCATCTCCTTTGTCTTCTTCACATTGATGTGAAGGTTATTCTCTCTGCACCAGCTCTCCAGGTGTTCCACCTCCTGCCTGTAGCTGGACTCATCATTGTTTGTGATAGTCCAGTTCTCTAGCATTCTGTCAGGTGTTAGTCCAGTCCCTTGGTACTGTTCACATTTTGACACCTGGCAGCAGCTGAACTTTGCTCAGCAACAGAACTGCAACCATTTCTGTGAAAATTTAATTTTCTCATAATAAAAATTAACCAATGATAAAATTCAGTTTAAAATAATTAAAAAATATAAATGTTGGCTGTGAAAAGAACCAAGAAACAAAGAAGATGAATCTCTTTTATTGATTAAAACAATTTTTTCATGGCTCTAAATGTGAAATCTAGTTTCTGTATCATTTTAAGACGAATGCAGATTTAGAAATGCAGCGCTGTTCCTTCGGTGACAGGACGTTGTCGTGTCTGTCTCTCAGGAGTCCATGCAGGGCAGCTCAGACGAGACGGCCAACAGTGTGGAGGAGGGCAGCAGCGGGCCGGGCAGCAGCAGCGGCCGCAGCGAGGCCTCCAGTAATGAAGCCGCCTCCAGCCGAGCCAGCCAGTCAGCCGGCAGCCCCGGCAGCGAGATGCACTCTGACGACATGGCCGACAGCGAGGCTTTAAAGGAGGAGGAGGAGGATGAAGAGGAGGAGGAGGAGGAGGATGATGAGGATGAGGACGATGACGAGGAAGAGGAAGAGGACGAAGGGAGCCAGTCAGTTGTTGAGGACGGTCAGCAGAAGGCGGTGCAGGAGCAGACCGAGTCAAGGAAGAGGAAGGCAGGGGAGGCTCTCGGCGAGGGGCCGAGTCATGGGGGTGTGCCCATTGGCTCTGGGGGAGGAGCCAAAACCAAAGTTCTTTCCTTCAGTCCAGAGACTTCAACTGTCATGGTCACTGCAGCATCGTCGACTTTAGAGGGCCGCATGAGGATGCTGGATGCTTGTTCTTCGTCGTCCGCTCGACCTGAAGGGGCGGAGCCTCAGCAACAAGGGGAGGACATCAGTCCCTCTCAGATGGTCCAGGGTCCCCAGGAGCCTCCCTGTCTGCCAAGACCCGGGGACTTCCTCGGAGAGGCCATGAGCAATGAGCTTTTTAACTGTCGCCGATTCATGGGGCCCCAGCACCATCATCACCACCACCATCATCACCACCACCACCACCATCACCACCACCACCATGAGGGGTAAGACTGGAGGCTTTTTAATAACTAAACTTTGTAGGTTCACATCTTTATTCAGGTCTAATAAGTTTGTCCCTCTCCTTGTTTTTGGTCCCTCCCCACACCAGTCCCATGGTGGAGGACATGCTGAGTGCTGATGACGTCAGCTGCAGCAGCTCCCAGGTCAGCGCCAAGTCGGAGAAGAACATGGCCGACTTCGACGGGGAGGAGTCTGGCTGTGAGGACGAGCTGGTCCAGATTAACTCCCATGCTGAGCTCAGCTCCCACCTGCAGCAGCACCTCCCAAACTTGGCCTCCATCTATCATGAGCACCTGGTGCAAGGTGAGCGTCACTCCAGCAGCTTGGAACATACCAGAGTTATTTTAAAGTAAACCTTTAGTTTTTCAGTTGAAGGTTAAATCTACAAGAACTGAAGATGTGAACGGTGTGCTTGTCTTCAGGTCCAGCTGTTCATAAACATCAATATTCCAGCCACGCTGTGACCGACATCAACCTGGATAACGTTTGTAAGAAAGGGAACACCCTGCTGTGGGACCTGGTGCAGGATGAAGATGCGGTACGACTGAATTGAAGTTGTGCAACTCGTTTTTTAATCAGATTTTTACTGATATTGCACTTATTAAGCCACGCTGAGGGTTCGCTGGCCTTCAGGTGTTTTGTTGTTAAAATGCTTGATACATGGAGTCACATTCTGCTTTGTGAACAAACGGCCAAACATTCTGAACAACCAATATCTTACCTGCTGGTCCTTGAACATTCTGTTTGAAGACAAAGTTTAACTCTGGCAGGACTGACGAGCTAACAGCTAATCTAAAGTACGTTGTTTTTTAAAAAGCTCTTTCCAAGATAAACATTTTGTTGTTGTTCATGTGTTTAATTTATAAACCTTTACTTTGCTGTCAGTTTCTCATTACACAGGTATTTAAATAGATTTAGGTAGTTATGTGAAAGTCCAACTAGTACCCACAACATCAGAAACTTCAAAGTTTGTGAACTCTTTATAATTTTCTATATTTCTCCATCAATATGACATAAAACATCATCAGATTTTCACACAAGTCCTAAAAGTAGATAAAGAGAATCCAGTTAAACAGATGAGACAAAATATTATACAGTAGTGTCCCCCCCTCCCCCACGCACTTGTGCGCAATAAGTGAAAAGTTGAGTAGTAGGGAAGGTACACTATTTATTTTGGTAAATAAATCCTATTTATATATGTTTTAAGGCCTTATAAACCCTTCCCACCCTGTTGCAATGTTCTAAGCTCTTAAACCGACATCATTTTAACAACATATGGACAGTACTGTACATGTAGCTGCTAATTTTACTCAGCAGCTCTCGGTTCAAGTCGACTCGGTTCGTTTCTGCAGATCTAACCTGCACAGTCAGTCCTCTAAACACTTAAACCTACTGATGTTAACAACATACTAACAGTGAGGAAAATACGTATTTGACCACCCTGCTACTTTGCAAGTTCTCCCACTTAAAAATCATGGAGGGTCTGAAATTTTCATCTTAGGTGCATGTCCACTGTGAGAGACAAAATCTATTTAATAAAATCCAGAAATCACAAAGTATGATTTTTTAATATGTTATTTGTGTGTTACTGCTGCAAATCAGTATTTGAACACCTGTGAACATCAAAGTTAATATTTGGTACAGTATCTTTGTTTGCAGTGACAGAGGTCAAAGGTTTCCTGTAGTTCTTCACCAGGTTCACTGCAGCAGATTCTGGACTGTTCCTCCACAGATCTTCTCTAGATCACCAGGTTTCTGGTCTGTCACTGAGAAACAGAGTTTGAGCTCCCTCCAAAGATTTTCTACAGGGTTTAGGTCTGGAGACTGGCTGGGCCACTCCAGAACCTTGATCTGCTTCTTACGGAGCCACTCCTTGGTTCTCCTGGCTGTGTGCTTCAGGTCATCGTCATGTTGGAAGACCCAGCCATGACCCATCTTCAATGCTCTCACTGAGGGACGGAGGTTGTTCCCCAACATCTCTCACTACATGGCCCCGGTCATCCTCTCCTTAATACAGTGCAGTCGTCCTGTCCCATGTGCAGAAGAACACCCCAAAGCATGATGCTTCCACCCCCATGCTTCATAGTAGGGATAGTGTTTTTGGGATGGTACTCATCATTCTTCATCCTCCAAACACGTTGAGTGGAATTAAGACCAAAAAGTTCTATTCTGGTCTCATGTGACCACAGAACTTTCTCCCATGACTCCTCTGGATCATCCACACGGTCCTGGTCAAACTTCAGACGGGCCTGGACGTGTTCTGATTTAAGCAGGGGAACCTTCGTGCCATGCATGATTTTAAACTATGACGTCTTAGTGTATTACCCACAGTAACCATGGAAACAGTGGTACCAGTTCTCTTCAGGTCATGGACCAGCTCCTCCGTGTAGTTCTGGGCTGATTCCTCACCTTTCTTAGGATCATTGATACGCCACGAGGTGAGATCTTGCATGGAGCCCCAGTCCCAGGGAGATTGACAGTCATGTTTAGATTCTTCCATTTTCTAATAATTGCTCCAACATTTGATCTTTTTTCACCAAGCTGCTTGGAAATTGCCCCGTAGATCTTTCCAGCCTTGTGGAGGTCTACAATGTTGTCTCTGGTGTTTTTGGACAGCTCTTTGGTCTTAGCCATGTTAGTAGTTGGAGTCTTACTGATTCTGTCGGGTGGACAGGTGTCTTCATGCAGCTACCGACCTCAAACAGGTGCTTCTAATTTAGAATAATAAGTGGAGTGGAGGTGGACTTTTTAGAGGAGGACTAACAGGTCTTTGAGGACCATAACTGTTGCTGATTGGCAGGTGTTCAAATATTTATTTACAGCAGTAACACACAAATAAATTATTAAAATATCATACATTGTGATTTCCAGATTTATTAATTTTTTTAGATTATGTCTCTCTCAGTGGACATGCACCTAACATGAAAATTTCAGACCCTCCTCGATTTCTAAGTGGGAGAACTTGCAAAGTCGCAGGGTGTTCAAATACTTATTTTCCTGACTTTATAAATGTGTATATATATATATATATATCTACCAGTATGATGTCAGACTACCAGTAAATCAAATCATCTGTTCCTTATTAAACTTATCAGTTTGAATGTGGTGCTTGTGTTCAGATCCATCTCTCCGAGGGTCTGATTAACGAAGCAGAGAAGCTGCTGTGTTCGCTCGTCTGTTGGTTCACTGACCGTCAGATCCGAATGCGCTTCATTGAAGGCTGCCTGGACAACCTGGCCCATCATAGGTAAGAATGACCGTCAGACATACAGATTTCATTTAATGTTGACTCTTTTTGAATTACTGATCTTGTCAAATAGCTGTTGAAGATTAATTGTATGTTCTTAAACCACTTTTTAATTTTTTCTACTTTGTCTTTTCTCGTCTGTTAAACTTGCCTTTGTCTTCATGTCTTTCCTCAGGTCAGTTGTGGTTTCTTTGCGCCTTCTACCAAAACTTTTTGGCACTTTCCAGCAGTTTGGCTCCAGCTACGACACTCACTGGATCACCATGTGAGTAACAGTCTTCCTTCAGTTGTTGGAGCAACAGAATCAACATCAAACATATGAAAAGCAACGGTTTTATGTGTTTTCTAAAAACATTGTTTTAGCTTGTCATTCCTGAACCTCACATTATTTATTATTGTTGTAACTTCACAGGTTTTTTCTTAAAAATGTGTTTATTTCACCTAAGTCAACTGTCTGAGGCTGTAAAGTATTAAAAATACCAGAATTTCCTGTGGATTTCACCAGTTTGGCATAGTGTCCCTTTGGATTTCACCAGTTTGGCATAGTATCCCTTTGGATTTCACCAGTTTGGCATAGTGTCC